AAGAGTAGCACGACAAGAAACCAGTCAGTCAGCACGAGACTGTGGTCGTGAACATACGGCTACTGGCAAGAAGTGACTTCATCTGCACCGGCTCGAGTGTCGGGCTTGATTCCACTTCTGCAGCAGCTGCTGGTAAGGTGATTTCTTCTGCATCGGCTTTAGTGTCGGGCTGGACGTCACCTTCCCAGTGGCAGCGCCACAAGCTACACACGCTCTCACCACAGCCTCTCCTGGCACCGCGTGCGGGCGACACCCGCTCGCCCGCAGTCAGCTCCGCCGTTAACAGAGGGATGTCGACAGCGCTTACAAGACCGGTTCTCACCGCCGTCAGCAGAGCGGCATCAACGGCGTCATTAGCGCGATACTCTCCGGCGCGAATAGAGCGCCACTTATCACCGTCGCCAGAACGCCGCCCAGCGGCGCGAGTAAAACGTCACTCCCGGCGCCACCAAAGTACCACTCATCGGTACGCCTCACCTGCATTGCTGAGAGCGCTACATCTCGGCGCAACTGGAACGCTACTCTCCGGAGCACTACACACCGGCGTCACCAGAGCGCTACTCACCAGCGTTGTTAGAACGCCATTCACCGGTAAGACCAGAGCGCAACCCACCTTGCAAGAGCGCTACATACCGACGCGGCCAGAACACCGCTTATAGACGCCAGCAGCGCGCCACTCAGCGGCGTCAGCAGATCGCTGCCCACCAGTACCAAAGTCACGCCACTAAAGCCTAACGGGCTCATAACGGGACAAGGAGCAGTTACCCAGTCACTGCAAGTGACGCTACCGAATGTTCCAAATTATTGTTTGTTATAACTATGTTCTTTTATAGAGATTAAGAAAAATTAAATAATAAATTACGATCTACCAGAGCCCGAAACTACAAATTCATTGTAACGAACCCTGGAGACGGCGAGTATACCCCAGCATTTTAGAAGAAGCATCGGGGTACGCAAAACGCTTCGTTACAATTCTCTAATTAAACTTTCCTAATACGTGATAACTCTTAAAATGGTAGCCTATTTTCCAACATTGGTCATAAGCTATCTCTGTGCGAAATGTCATGCAAATCTGTTCAGTCGTTTCCGCGTATTAATTTAATTAAACTTTTTTAACAGGTGGCAACTCTTAAAAAAGTAGCCTACTTTCTAACCTAGGTCATAAGCTATCTGTGTGCAAGATTTCACGCAAATCCGTTTATCGTTTCCGCGTATTAATTTAATTAAACTTTTTTAACAGGTGGCAACTCNTAACACGTGGCCACTCTTCCAAGAAATTAGCCTATTTTCCACTGTAGGTCATAAGCTATCTGCTTGCAAAATTTCATGCAAATCCGTTCAGTCGTTTCCGCGTATTAATTTAATTAAAACTTTTTTAACAGGTGGCAACTCTTCCAAGAAATTAGCCTATTTTCCACTGTAGGTCATAAGCTATCTGCTTGCAAAATTTCATGCAAATCCGTTCAGTCGTTTCCGCGTATTAAATAAATGAAACTTTTTTAACAGATGGCAACTTTAAAAAAAATAGCCTATTAACCAATCCGACCCATAAGCTATCTGCGTACAAAATTTCATGCAAATCCCTGCAGTCGTTTCCGCGTGATGATTTCGCAAACATCCAAACATACAAACTTTCACATTTATAATATTTATAAGATTGTTTATAAATGAATTATATTTTTATAAATCATGTTTTGAGTCATATGTTTTTGAGAAAAATACACCGTAGTAATTTTAGAATTTCAAAATTACATCTCTCGACTGAAAAATAAGATACTCGAGCTAACTCGACAGCACAGAGTGTGCTTTTTTGACACTTCATGCCAATTAATCGTAGCGCTTTCGACAGAAGCATTTTTTTGATATGAAACAAAATCGCTTTGAAAGCTAATATAATTCAAGGAAATATATTGCCATTGAGCCACAATCACCTTAAACAAAATTGTTAAAAAATAGTGTTCTTCGAAAAAAACATGCAAAATCCAACGGATATATTAAAAAAAAAACATTTTTTGTATTTTGTATTTTTGAGAAACACGATTCCACTGTTTAAAAATTTAAAAAAAGTTCAACCCCTCAATTAGAAGAATGCATTATATATTGCCATTTTTATGATTTGCATGGAGCTGTGCATCCTTCACACAATTTTATATCCCTCGAACAACAAATCAGTTTTTGTTCTATTCAAGACCTTTAATTTAAGCCAAGGTAGACGTCTCTAGGCCCTTTGAGAGTTAAAGTTAAACTTCGAAATTTTATTCGACATTTAACGCAATTTTTTTCCTAATTTCGGAGTAAAAACTAGTACAGCAGTTTCGGAGTTTAGTTTGAAATTGTTAGATATAACTTGGCTCTCAGAGGGTCTAGGCTCAAATTAAAGGTCTTAAATTGCACGTATTGTTTGAGGGATATAAAAATGAGTGACGGATGCACAGCTGCATGCAAATAGAAAAAAATGCAACAAATAATTTCCCCTAATTCCCGAGAATAACATTTCATACTTAAATTGAAGACATTCATAACGAAAAGTCTTTCATTGTTTGGAAAAAATACAGTAACCCTAAGTTTTCGCTATTTTTCCCTAGTTTGTTTAATGTTTATTATTTTTTATGAAAATATAGCTGACTACTTAAGAAACACCATATAAATCCTAACTTCAGACGATGCAAAAATTATGAAAATTCCGCAAAATTTCAACGAAATTTGTAACTTTTGATTCAGCATCTTTAGAAAATATTTGGTATGCAGTTTTATAGTCCATTAAATTTTAGTATAATATGATGCGAATTTGAAGTAGCTAGGACGTGCCGTTAATGTTTGGCATTCTTTGTTTTTTTTTAATGACGATGTTACTAATTTTTTTCCATACATAATACGTTCGATATTATATGAAAACAAGCAAAAAAGTCTAAGTTCGAGCGGATCCGAACATTAGATACCTGGCGCAATTATTAAATACAGTTTTTTCACCTGGTAAGCAGGGGTGGTTTTATCTCTATTTCAAACATCTTCGATAAACTTGTATAGTTATATGTGGGCGGTATCACGCCCATTTTCCAAAATTCCATAATAATATTATTTCTTTTCAAGGGAATGTTGTTAGTATCAATTTTATGTAAATTAGCGTTCTTAAATTTCGAAATATCGAAGTTTCAAGCTTTTTTGAAATTTAATAATAATAATAGATTGGCGCTTACACATATGTTAGTGTTTGGCCGAGCTTCTCCTCAACTTGTGGCGTGCGCCTTGATGTTGTCACACAAAGCGGAGGGACCTACAGTTTTACGCCGACTCCGAACGGCGATTGTATTTTTTTTTATGAGAAGCTGTGAATTATTGCAAACATCAAATTTGAATAAATTAGCTTCAGTATTTACTGATTTATCGAAGATTTCGTATTTCTCCAAATTACCGTTATATGGGATGTTGGCGTGGTTATTGTCCGAATTTTCAGCCATTTGATATGTTGTACCAAGGCCAACAACCGTGCCGTGCCGAGATATACACATGTAATCATAAGTGGGCGTGGCTACGCCCATTTTCCAAAAATTTATAATATTCTTATTTTTCGTCTAAAAATCATTGTAAATATCAATTTTGAGGGAATAGGCTTAAGTAGTTACTAAAATATCGCAGTTTTCGTATTTCTGAAAACTACCGTTATATGGGAGGTAGGCGTGGATTTTTCCCATTTTCAATACCATCCGTCCTACGCTGAAAAGAAATACACGTACCGAATTTCCTTCAGATATCTCAATCTTTACTCGAGTTATCGTGTGCACAGACGGACGGACGGNGGGCGGTATCACGCCCATTTTCCAAAATTCCATAATAATATTATTTCTTTTCAAGGGAATGTTGTTAGTATCAATTTTATGTAAATTAGCGTTCTTAAATTTCGAAATATCGAAGTTTCAAGCTTTTTTGAAATTTAATAATAATAATAGATTGGCGCTTACACATATGTTAGTGTTTGGCCGAGCTTCTCCTCAACTTGTGGCGTGCGCCTTGATGTTGTCACACAAAGCGGAGGGACCTACAGTTTTACGCCGACTCCGAACGGCGATTGTATTTTTTTTTATGAGAAGCTGTGAATTATTGCAAACATCAAATTTGAATAAATTAGCTTCAGTATTTACTGATTTATCGAAGATTTCGTATTTCTCCAAATTACCGTTATATGGGATGTTGGCGTGGTTATTGTCCGAATTTTCAGCCATTTGATATGTTGTACCAAGGCCAACAACCGTGCCGTGCCGAGATATACACATGTAATCATAAGTGGGCGTGGCTACGCCCATTTTCCAAAAATTTATAATATTCTTATTTTTCGTCTAAAAATCATTGTAAATATCAATTTTGAGGGAATAGGCTTAAGTAGTTACTAAAATATCGCAGTTTTCGTATTTCTGAAAACTACCGTTATATGGGAGGTAGGCGTGGATTTTTCCCATTTTCAATACCATCCGTCCTACGCTGAAAAGAAATACACGTACCGAATTTCCTTCAGATATCTCAATCTTTACTCGAGTTATCGTGTGCACAGACGGACGGACGGACAGACATGGCTTAATCGACTTCTCTTTTCATTCTGCTCATTTATGTATACATTTGTCTATATCTATCTCGATTCCTTTAAGCTGTTACAAACAACCGTTATGCGGACAAAGTTATAGTACCCTGTGCACAAGTGCGGAACGGCAAGCGCCAGCTACTTTAAAATTTGCCTTTATTATACGTACTAAAATTTTTGTTTTTTAATGATGCTGATTAAAAAGTTACAAAATTTTATGAAAATTTACAGAATTTTCATAATTTTTGCACAAAGCATGAAATTTGGATTTAAATGTGGTTTTTTAAGTAATCAGCTACAATTTCATAAAAAAATAATAAGCATTAAATAAACTAAACAACAAGTTTATACATATGTATGTGTTTAGGTCACTGTATGTATATTCGCTTAAAATAAAAATCATTAAAATCGGCCCAGTATTTTTAGACTTTTCGGATTAGAAAAAACTCTCTTTCAATTTTATACACAGTCCGACATGAAAATTTTCTAGGAGTTAAGGTTAATCATCTCAGTAGATTTTGGGTAGCAAAAATGGTTAAAATTATATATTTGTATTTTATGAAAGTAAGCAGTGTTGCCAGATCTTCGGCACGAGAAAACGTCCCTCTTGGTCTGAAAAAACGTCATTTCCTACCCAAAAACGTCTTTTTTTAAATAAATGTACAAAAAATAAGAACAACTTATGAAACTTTAATTGCATTCAAAGGTACATATGTACGTAAGGTATATTAAAATGTCATATCGACAGAACACATTTAAAATTCATTGTAAACTGGTTTCAGATCGTTAATATAAAAATCATTTTATACATACACTTGTGATCAGCTGATTAAGTCATCAACATTTTGATCAATTTTGGCTGTTTCTCGTTTGTTTATTTAATGTTTATTATTTTTTCATAAAAGCCAAGCTCATTATATGACAAACAAAATATAAATCCACATTTCAAACTTTGTGCAAAAATTATAATTTGAAAATTTTCAGCTAGATTTTCAACATTTTATTCAGATTTTTTAGAACTTTTTGGGTAGGCAGTTTGATAGCCCATTAAATTTCAGGGCAATAATATGCAAGTTTAAAGGGGCTAAATAATCGCGTTGATTTTTAATATTTTTTTTTTTCTTTTAGACATTTGGTTAGGGGCTCGGTGGT